CCCGGAAGTAGGATTCGTCGCGTCATCACTGAACAACCGGATTGACCACATCCTGTTACCATAGTGCCATAGTTGTTCTCTGGGCTGGTTTCCATGGTGATTAGTGTTGTGCCATCCTCTCTCTGATCCCCTCTCCGCCTCATCCTCCCAAAACCTTCCTCCTCCTGCACACACACACACACACACACACACACACACACACACACACACACACACACACACACACACACCTGTCGTTTAATGTCATTTTCATTATGCCATGATGTCACCGGCTGTAATGACACCGTAGTGACAGTTGTGGTTCAGGTCTTCAGTCTCTACTTCCTGCAGAGGACTGACGTTCTTTTATGAGCTCGTCTGTTTATCAGGTCGATCACATCGTGAGGGTCTTAAACACGGAGCAGCTATGAAGCAGCTTTGTTTTCTATTGTTTTCTAATGTTCTGATAGTCTGCTCCCAGCTCCTCTCATGAATAACACAATAAATACATTTAACACTGTTATGATGGAAAGTTTGTGCAGGTGAAGGACTTGTGACTTTTACAGCACAGCACTCTGCACAGCGTCACCGTGAATAACTTTAATCCCACTGGACGATGTCAATGGAAACACTGGCCTCACCGGCGCTGACGGCGGGTTACCAGCCGTGTGTGTAACTGCGCGTGCAGCTCCGCGGTTCATTGATTAAAACTCGTTTCCGTCCGTCAGGGTGACGCTGTCAGAGCTCACAGCTGTTATAGCTCCCTCACCGAGTATCGATCACAGGTCACTGATCACAGTATCGATTATGTATTGACGCATTCAGACTTCCCTCTCTCTCTGAGCTGATTTTACCTGGGATCAATCAGACCGATTGGATCTGGGTGGATGACGTGTGGTGTCTCGTGCAGTCCGACTCACCTGTGCGTGCAGACAGTGACGGCCTCAGGCGAGCTCGCGGCTCTCTGGAGCTTCAGCAGCTGATCAACTTGTTTGTAGAGGCGAGCTGACTTCAGGAGAGGCCCCGCCCATCCCGTTAACCACGCCCCTCCCCCGCCTCTTCATCAAAAACAAACTTGGCAGCGTAAAACAGCCATGAAACACAGAAGCACCATATTCTGCATCCGCGTGCACATTAACACGTGCACGGCTCCCGTTGTGATCTCTCACTGGTCTGACACTGTGCTGCTTCTTCTCTCATCCTCTCCCCCCTCCCTCTCCTGTTTCTACTTCAATCATGAAACTGATCAATGATCAGCTGATCGGCTTTTCTCTCTTGTTTATTTATCGCCCACTTTGCCCAGAAAGAGGAAACCAGCGGATGTCGCGCTAAACAACAGCAGCACGTTTAAGCTTGATCAGCTGTTGTTAGAATTGATTTAATATTAATTTCTAGTATCAGCTGATGTTTGCTGGAGCCACAGCTGTAAA